TCTGACTTTCTCTCCAATTGACCTTTGTTTGTACAAATCAAAAGACGAGGCAAAGCTGGTCTTGAAATGATTTTCCAACATACTTGCATAGTTTTTTTCTGCATATTTCCTCGATGCCTTTCTTTCTTCCTCGATATATTCCTCAATACATTTCTCTCATCTTACTTAAGATTTTCATTATTAAGCAATTGTCTCTGAAAAGATTCTTCTTCCCATTCAAGTACATCAAACATCCTCTGTCCCATTTCTTATTTTCATATCAGTATCCTCTTATCCCTGCTTGACTGTGTCCTGTGTTTCCTTTGTGTACATAGAGCTGAGTCTTGAGTCTTTTTGCAAATGCTTATATAAATATTTGTGAAAATATAGTTTATTAACTTATGTAAGTGCTATGTATTCTGGATCAAGGCCTTGAACAAAAAAGAGATGTTAGTGAAACAGTTGGTGAAAATCACTAACATCTCTTTTCTGTTTAAGGCCTCGATCCAGAATGGATTTTATTAGAATAGATTAGAATAGATTTTATTCTAAACAGTTGGTGAAAATAGAATAAAATCTATTATTTGCTTGATACATCATTTCTTAGTTTTGATCAATATGGTCCTGAAAGAGATCAAAATTAAAGGAAGCAAAGCAAAGAACAGAAAGGTGTGAACATTTCATAAACAAGAAGACTTCAAAATTCAGTACATGTGAAAATGCTGTATTTTAAAAACAGAATTTTTTTAAAAAGGTTTTTTTAAAAAGGATTTTCCAAGCATAAGAAAAACTCTAGACTATCCAAGTGCAGTTTAGACATTTCTAGGCATTGTTAGGTAAATAAATTTAAAACCAAAGCCTCCTATTCACAGCCTTTGGTGTTCAAGTTCCTCCCAGTTTCCTTCACTCATTTCCACAACTCCAGCTGTTGCCTCTAGGCTGAGATCAGAAGTTTCCCTGATGTGGTGTTTCCTGTCCCACACACATTTTCAAGTCAGTGTACAGAAATGTCAATTCTTTATAGCCTTCCAATGACCTTCCTGTCCACTATATTGACCAGTGACAGCACTATCCTGGCACCTAAGGTACTTCAGAACCACCTTTTTATTTCCTCTTTCTAAATGTTCATACTATAAGCTATGTCACTTTCAATAGTGTCATGTCTACCAACAACCCCTTTCAACCTTTGAGATTACTCCAGAATTACTTCATATACCTTGTCAGTATTAACCCATTACTTCCCACCGTCAGTTTACTGAAATCATGAAAAACCCACAAAGGCTATCTACTATATGTAAGACCTTTGCAAATCATTTCTCTAGCAAGGGTTTGGTATCCAAAATACACAGTTAGGCTTCATTTAGCTACATTATGTCAATGTGGACTACATATATGAATGGTAGTCCCATCATAGCTTGTAGCATATGGTCTAAGTTCATAGTAACACTAAATCATCTAGATATGTGCAATTATGCTCTGATGTTCACACAGTAGTGAAATTTCCCAGTGATTCTCAGAACATCCTTATTGTTAAGCAGGATTCTGTGTATGTATTATATAGTACTTATATATAATTCCAGTAATAAAATGAGCAGCAATTTGTGAACACTTCCAAAGAAGACATTTAGGTAAATATGAATCAAAACCCTAACCAAATATTTCCTTACACATGTGAGAATGGCTTTTAACATAAATGCACGGTCACGGTCACGGTCCTCCCGTTGTTCATCGATTTGCTCGAGTGGGCCCAGTAACGTCTCCTTCGTTACTGTGTTTGGCATATTGAATACATCATAGGTAGCTTGCCAGGCTCTGCCATGCGGGCGAGATACTCTTGGTAGCTTGCCGAGCTCTCCGAGAGGGGCGGAAGAATCGAACTCGGGTCGGCCATATTGGCTGCATGCAAGGCAAATGCCCTACCCGCTGTGCTATTGCTCCAGCCCATAACCATAAATGCAAGAAATAAGAAATGTTGGCAAAGATGTGGAGAAAAGTGAACCCTCATAAACTGTCGATCAGAATATAAACTGATATAGCCATTGTGAAAAATAGTTTGATGATTCTTCAAGAAATGGAGAATAGAAATTTCAGATAACTCAGATATCTCATGTCTAAAGAATCCAAAGAACAAAAAACACTAATTTATAGAGCTAAATGCATCTCTGTGAGTTTATTGCAGCATTATTTTCAATAGCCACGACTTGGAAATAAATTCCTGTTGACAATTAAATGGCTAGAGGAGAGGTGTGATACAGTCATACAGTGCAATCTGACAGGTGTCTGTTAGGTAGGTTTAGGTTTTATTTGATGATTTGGCCACACACAGAGATGCTCAGGACTTCCTCCTGGCTCTGTGCTCAGTTATCACTCCTGGCAGGGATTGAATGACCACATGTGGTTTGAGGATCTAACTTCATGCTAATAGGATTGGCCACAAAGCAAACACCTTACTTGCAATACTGTCACTTCAACACCAGCAGTTTTCTCACTGCGCATAGGTCAATAAGTTTACTTACACAGACCTATGTAGTACAGCATTCAACAGTTTAGTTTATCTAGGAGTTATCATATATGTGTAGTCCATGATTAAATGATTCGTCATGTGGCACATGACTGTATATTGACAAGGTGATACTACTCACCTATTAAAATGAAATATTACATTTTGCAACAACTCGGGTCCTATATATTCTTCACTAAGTGAAATAAGACAAAGACAAATGCTGTATGATTTCACTCATAAAAAATAGTAACCACAATATAAATAAACCCACAGACTTAAGAACAGTATACAGTGCTGGGCTGGAGCACTGCAAGTACAGCAGGTAGGGCGTTTGCCTTGCACGCAGTTGACCTGGGTTCCATTACCAGAATCCCATATGGTCCCCTGAGCACCACCAGGAGTAATTCCTGAGTACAAAGCCAGGAGTAATCCCTGTGCATCACCGGGTGTTACCCAAAAACGTAAAAAAATAAATAATTAAAATAAAACACACACACACACACACACACAATCCAGAATACAGTGCTTATCACAAAGATTGAGGTAGGTAACTTAGGTAAAACGGATCAATTGGGTGGTAAAGAATGGAAAGTAGAGTTTTGGTGGTGAGCTTAATGTATCATATATAGATGTCAAACCACATGATCCCTGAAAACCATATAATGTTATAGGTTACTTTAATTTTGGGGAAAAAAAGCATCAGTGGTTCTCTATTGCTGCTCATCTAAATAGTAATAAATATCTAACTGGGAGGATATGCATGATACAGCTAAATCATATTACCGACCCAACCTCACTTCAATGGATGTGCCATGGATGTGTAAGGAGCCAAGGTCTTTGAAGTCAGAGAAAGTTCTGGCCTTGAATCCTGACTTAGTCATCCTGTTCACATTCATCTTTGCCTCTAAGCCCCAGTTTCCCTATGTAAGATTAATGTTGCACTTACTATGCAAAGCTATTGTGAAAAATGAAGTGGAATAATATATGCCAAGTGTCATGCCCAAAGTAGACTCCTCTTACTGGTGCTTAATGCAGTAGGTGCCACCCCTGCGGAATGGATCTTTGGATCATCTCTGTCATGTATGTGTGCTCTTGAAAAGGCAATTTAGTTAGGTCTTATGGTTTCTCTTAAGAGTACTACAATCACCTTTCCACAAATTTTCTTTTTGTTTTTTATTTTTAAGTCACACCCAGCGATGCTCAGGGATTACTCCTGACTCTACACTCAAGAAGTACTCCTGACAGTACATGGGGGACTGTATGGAATACTGGGGACCAAACCTGGATCGGCTGCCTGCAGGGTTATAAGCACCCAACCTACTATACTTTCCCTCCAGCCCTTTCCATAGTTTTCTAAATGGGTCTCTCTGTAGGAAAGCCTCATCCCATGTGGAGGAATGACCATTTACCCCTCCTCCCTGCCATTTGTACTTATTTCCTGCCACAGGTGCAGCCACGAACTATTAGAGATGAAGGGAATCCAGCGCAGAACTGTATTCCACTTCCCAGGACATCATGGTAATGTCACACTGCATTGTGCCTGCGCTGGGTCCCTGTGGGAAGAGTCTAAATGATTCCCTGCCCCTTCTCAAGGACCTGGAACAGCGGCTGCCACACATTTGGACTTAATCAGCATTAGAAAGATGGAGGGAAATGATAATGACTGGGGCTAGAGAAATAGACAGAGGTTAAGGCGCTTGTCTTGTATGTGGCCCAACCCAGTTCAGTTCCTAACACTGCAGACAGTCTGCTGAGCACTGCCAGGAGTGATCCCTAAGCACAGAGCCTAGAGAAAACCCTGCGCACCACTGGGTGTGCTTCAAAAAATAAATAAAAATAAAATATGCTTGAAAGGTACAACAGGACATCAAACTTTATTCAGTGGTGAATAAATTAGCGGGAACCACATAGGTTTGACACTTGTTTGAGGTGGTGTGTGTGTGTTGGGGCCAGAGCTGGTAAAAGAAATGAAACTAGATGCTTGGATGCTCTGTCCAAGCCCATTGCGCCATCCTCTTGAACCTCACCTCACACTAGAGATCAAAGTGGAAATGGTTACGTCTGTCTTGGTATGTGTGGTAGGAAGGAAAAAGATCTCTGAAGAAAACATTGAGAGGAGAGGGGCCTCCCAGCTGGTACCCAAAAGACCTGGGTACCAATGAGTCTCAGCCAGCTGGGCTGGGGGTTCAGTGCAAGGATGCGACGCTGCTTGGGACCTGTGGAACTGGGAATATTTGGGCCATCTCCATGGCACTGGGGCTGTATCTGGCTATGCTTGGGAGATGTGGTGCCGGGGAGCAAACCCTGACTAGTGTATGATCTCCCAGCCCTGAAGAAAGGGCATTTTTACAGCTTTCCCTGAAGGGGATGAGGAGGAATATAGGTAGAATTGGAAAGAGGCTCAGGAAAGGAATTCTGAAATAAGATATGAAAAACTGATCAGAACATTGGAACAAAGGTTTTTTTTTTTTTTTGTGGCAGCACCACTGTTCATTTGTGTGTATATCTTTGTTTTCAGAATTTTCCCCCGAGAATACCTCCTCCAACAGATTCACCTCTATTCCCTGGCTGATCTGCAACAGGTAAGCACTCAGAGGGGCCATTTCATTGTGTTTTCTCTCCTGGGGAATGTCACTGTGGATGGTGCCCTCCTCCCAGAATTCTGCTATTGCTTTTCCACAAGCCTGATAAATTTCTATTCAGAGTAGGAAAATAGAGCATAAGTAGAATTATCCAGGGCTGTAACACATGTTGGCAAAAACCTAAAGAAGCTGAAGCTCTCATGCCCTGTTGGTGGGGATGCACTGGGTGGAGCACTTTGGAATGCAGCCTGGCAGTCCCTCAGAGCATTGAACAGAGTTTCCATATTACCCGGTGATTTTAATACCTTGCTGTATATCCGAGAAAATGGGAAATAGATGTCTCCTTGTAAGGGACTGTGTGGAAGACAATTATTCATAGTAGCCAAAAAAGTGGAGACAGTCCAGATAATCATCATTTAATAAATTTAAAAAATGGTATATAGATACATGATGGACTATTTGGACATTAAGAAGAATGGCCTATTAATGGTCAAAGAAATGTTTTGGCCTTTATAATATAATATTTTTCTCTTTAATTCCAGAAAAGCTTTATGCTGAAAGAAACCAAACAGAAAAAATTACATATTTTATGTTCCATTTAAATGAAATATCCAGAATAATAAACTCTACTGAAACACAAAAAAACTAAATGTTTGGTTGCCGGGGTCGGGGAGAGCTGGGGAAAGAGGAGGGGTTGCTCATGGTCCAAGGCTGCTTTGGGGAGTGATGAAATGTTCTGGAATTATATAGTGGTGGTGTTTTCACAATTCTGTTAATATACTAAAAACCACTAGTCTAAGTACTTTCAAAGTGAAGTTTAGGGTTATGTGGATTATATCTCAGTTTAAAAAGTGTACAAGGAAGAACATGTAAAAGGGAATGAATCTCTTTACCTTATAAGCTCTCCAGTGTACAAAGCAAAATCTAGGATGATTTTAAAAGCTCAGTAAAACATAACAGCGTCTATGAGTCAAAACCTGCTTTTGAAACCTTGTAAGTACATGTTCTTTTAACCATTGTCCCAGGGAGCAGTCAAGATGAAGACTGACACTTTGTTAAGCAGAAATTTCTAAATATATTATGCTTTGGTTGATTAATTATATCAGGAGCTCACTCCTGAAGAAGCTTTGGACAGTAAATATTTTCATTTCTATACATTTATTGGCTCTTTCAAAAGTCGGTGAAACAATTCTGATGACTCTCAGAATGCAGCAGATGACTGTAATTCTGCTTTGCCCCGCTTTATTATTGTTTTCTTCTGTGGTTGCGTCACCCAAATGAAATGAGGTCAACCTAGAAACTGTTCAGTTCTGAGCACACCTAAAAATTGTGTTACTTTTTCACTTACTTTTCAGGAGTTAAGATGTCCTTTCCAGGTTTGTTCGCTTTTATAACTTGACTTTATTGTTCACTGCTCCTCGTTGCCCCCACCCCCAGGGAAGAAAGTGATTTTAAGTGATATAAATGTTAGAGTGTTTAGTGGGAGAGTCTGTGAGAGAGCTGGGCTTTGAATTTTCACTTGTAGTTCAAGAGTAAACCCATTGGCACGTATGAACTCTCCCTTCTTCAGTCCTGCCTGCCTTTTCCCGCATAATCAAGCAGCGGTGATCTATCTCCTGGCTTAGACGAAGGGAGTAGAGTAATTACCATTATCCAGAGGTATTCAAGGTGAAGAAGGGAAAACGCCCCTTCCATGATTACCTATTTTCCAGGACCCAGTCTAACCACAGTATCTGAGGCCCCAGACTGTCACTAGAGAATCATGTTTAAAGGCACTGATATCTTCTCACAAAGGCGGTTAATAATAGAGTGGGTGGGCTTCAAACATGAGCACTCTCTGAGGCAGCCTTTCAAAACTGAGTTTTGATACCAGCTGAAGAAAAAGAATAGAATAATTCCATATTCATTTTAGGTTATCAAAGCAACCGAGCCATTTGTCATAATAAAGCCTGCTTTTAAGGCTTCCTGAAGCCCTCCTGACTGTTTCCTTTTCTCTTGCTTCCCCCCAATAATCAAACCACACTGTCAAGCAGCTTACTTAAATCCATGGCAATGACATCTTTGGCGGGCCAGACCATTCATCCCAGAAACCCCACCAGCAGCTTAATCAATTTGCAGCCTCATACTAAGTGATAGGGGCAATCCACAGATTATCGAGCACCCCGTCGGTGGAGGCGGCTGGACTCCTTGCATCCATTTACTCAACAGCTTGCACTAACTGGGCTCTTTGTGCCTGGCTTTAAGATCTCCAAACTTATCATATTTGCAGGAAGTTTAATTCAATTACTTTGTCTGCCTGAGGTGGGTCAAATTTGATTTAGCTTTGATCTGTCTGCATCTAGCCTGTCAGCCCTCTTCCCCCAGCTTCCCTCCATGGCCGAGTAAATTTCTGGCGTGTTTTTTGGCTTGGACTTGTTCTTGTAAACATGGAGGAGAACACAGGGAGAAAAAGGAAAATGGTTACTTTGGGAAAGGCTTTGTCAGCGGGAGCAGGGACCCCAGCCCGACCGAGCCAGCTGCCAGCCCCAAATCATCTGGTACCGTGTTTGCCCTGGCTGCTTTGTGTCATCTTGCATGTCACTTTAGGAACTTGAGATTTACTTTCCCTCATTTGAGTCCCCTCCTCACTCCTAAAATAAAGGTCTCTATCAAAGAGGATCCTCAACACCACATAAGCTCCCTGAACATCACCAGACGTGGCCCCAAACCAAAATATAAATAAATAAATAAATGGAATAAAATAACTACAGAAAAAAACAGTTTGTAAGGGAGAGGAAGTTACTAAAGAAACAGAAGAATCATAGTCCCTAATTAATTCTAAATATATAATAATTTTATTATGTTATCAGCATTGGTTTCTTTTTACAAATTTTCCATACGTGAGTTAAATTTTCCCCATTAGGCCCGCTCAAGCAAATCGATGAACAGCAGGTGGACAGTGACAGTTTTAATTAAAAAATAAAATGTAAGAGCTGGAGCAGTAGCACAGCGGGTAAGGCTTTTGCCTTGCATGCAGCTGACCTGAGTTCGATTCCCAGCATGCCATATGGTCCCCAGAGCACTGCCAGGAGTAATTCCTGAGTTCAGAGCCAGAGTAACCCCCGTGCATTGCTGGGTGTGACCCCAAAAGCAAAATAAATAAATAAATAAATAAAATGTAAACATGTGTTTCCCCCAAACCCAGAATTTTATATAAATATGGTAAAGGGGGATTTCTAATTTAGGTATATGTAATATGGCTTAATAGTGTGTCAACATTAAAATACCTAAAATAAAGATGCTGAAATAATTCCTGTACCGAAATATGTGCAACCTTCTTACTTGTCTTGCTCAGATTTCATCTTATATAAAATAATCCCTAATAGTTGCAGCAGATAGGCTTTCTTGCCTATTCCGTTTAAGACAGTTCCCCTATCCATTCTCATTGTTTGGATGTGCCAGCCACTCTGCATGCGTGCTCCCTGACTGTTGTGTTCAGACATGAGGAAATAAAATAGCACAGGTGAGTCTATCTTGTAAGGGGATCCGCCTTGTTCTGTGAGCTGCGGCCACCTGCCAAACCAGTAAGTGTCAATTGTTGGCAAACGTTGTAGCTTCCACTGGTGCCAAGTCCCTAATTGTCCGTTAGTTCCCCCAGTGAGTAAGTTCTCAGTAGGTTCTTCTCACACATGGTTAGACAGTGGTTGCTGCGGAGCACAGCCATTAGCTGGCTGTATCCAGCCCACAGCCTGCTGGCGTGCATCATGTAACGGAGGTCCACCTGCCATTCTTGCCCTAGCAGCAGCCAAGGAAGGGAACAAAGATCCAAATCCCAGGAGCTTAGAAAATTCAGGAAATGCCAATTTGGGCTTTCCCCTCCCCCCCCTTAAATTCAGGGTTTCAGATGACTTTTCTTTCAGCACAGTGGAGTTTATTAGAAAACCATTCAGTTTGTGTCCCTTAAGTGTATGCTGTTTTGTTACCTTTTTTAAAAAATTTAAAATCTTTTGATCTTTCAGGAAGGTTAAGTACCTACTGTTTTCTTTGCACCAGCAGAGCATTTTCTTAGGAGAGGTTTGGCAGGCAGTGATTAAGTATGTGTCAACAACAGTGACACAAGTGATGGTGTGTGTTTTAAGTGTGGGGGAAACTGAGGCATTGTTTACTAGATAGTCTTTTCCTGATTTGGTGCTTCAAGAAAGGAAAATAGAGTAATTAAGAAAATAGAATAGAATTCTTTTTTTCTTTCCGATCTGTTGAGCACTGTCAAGAAAACACAAGGTGGCTGGGAGAACTGTTGGTCAGGAGCCTCACATCAGTCCTTGCCACTGTCCCACAGGCTGAGTGGGATCCAGGTGGCACTGCTGTTTGACATTCTTCACAGCACCACAACTAAGCATGTGCTTATAAAAAACTATGCAGACACTTTTTCTTCTCAGAGCACCCCCACCAAGTGAGTGCCATAACTAAGTGTGACCTCCCTGATGAGCACTGCAACCAAAGTGTATGTGAGTACCACTTAAGGACAGAAAGCCCCAGTGAGCAAGGCAACTGAAGTTTGCAAGCAGTGCAGCCCCAAAGCATGAGAGCCACTCAAAGAATACAACCCCAGATCCCCCAGGACAGCCACAGGGAAGGGGGAAATATTAAACAAACAAGCAAACCTGATAAGAAGCCTGTAAGATAGTAATATGGGGACCAGAGCCATAGTACAGCGAGTAGGGCATTTGCCTTACATGCAACTGACCTCGAATTCAATCCCTTTCACCTCATTTATTTTTGCAAGCACCACCGGGAATAATTCCTGAGTGCAGAGCCAGGAGTAATCCCTGAGCATCACCAGGTGTAGCCCCCCTAAAAAACCAAACAAACAAAAAAGCAAAACAAAGATAGAAATACTAAAGGGGGAAAAGTTCCACTGAGATAGCAGAATAGCCCCTGAACTCTTGGAGCATTTGCTTGTTCTCCCCGCAACTCCGATTACTAGGACATGGGGTAGGGGTGAGGGTTATGCTCATGAT